ACAGGATGCATTGAGGAGGAGCCCAAACTACACTCAGTGGCCAAGTGATGCTTATGGTCCATGATATTGGTACAGATTCTGTCTAATAAACAATGCGTGACTGTATATTTCAAGTTGGAAAAGACATTTAGTTCCCACTTTAAGTGAACCTTAGTTCCCAGGTCATCTACAAGATGGATTAAAATGCTGATAACGTCAAGAAAAGATGAGACATAAACACATGACAGTATGATTGAAATGTTAAAATGTAAAAAAATAAAAAATAAAAATAAATAAAACACGTTTATTCTGTGGCACCTTAAAAAATTATTTGGCACCTACGTTTTTTTCTTATAGGAGCCAATGGCTCCTTACTCGATTTTTTTGTCTGGAGCCCTGCTGAATATAAGGAGTTTTTCGCTTCCAGCCTTCATGGACAATTATATATCACTTTTAAATGATTAAATACAAAATGAATAGTAGTTATTAAGATTGACGTGGTTTGGAATTGGTAAAATGTGCTTGGGAAAAAAAATATATGATCAGAATATCAACTTTTTCACAATTATGCACGCACTGTATATGTAGTATAAAAATAAAACCAAAAAAAAAAATTACGAAACCACCTAGCAACCATTAGAACACCCTGGCAACCACACAGCAATTATTCAGAACATCTTCGCAACTGCAAAACAATGCCTGGTCAACAAACCACTAAAACTTTTTAGTTTTGCACTAAAAAAAGAAAACAGCACCATAAAAGAATCACATGCACAATCTTCAGATTTTTCTAATTCTCGTGATAGATCAGTGTGAGGAATAGACTGAAATTTAAGCCATTATTCACTGAAAATCTGCTCATGAGGGTGAGTAAATGATAGAGAATCTTCACTATTCCTTTATAATCATAATAAAAATGGATTAACGCATCTGTTTTATATGTCCTAATGTACTCATTAGCTAAACTACCTCACACTTCATAGTGATTTTTAACACAGAAATCCTCCATTTTCTCCTACAGCCACTGAAGTCTTGCTTTCTCTATGGAGCTGAAGGAGAGCCGCGTCTCATGGTGACCTGTGTCTGAGTTTGCGGTGTATGACAGAGACAGACGGGCTCAGAGGTGCTGCTTTCAGAATCAGGTTGACCCGTTTCAGGTGCGGGGACACATCCGGGCCACAGAGACTCTCCTTTAGTTACGGAGAGCCACACGGCATCAGCTGTAATTAACACACGGCTGGAGCAACGTGCACTTTTAAAAATAAAACAGATGAAAATAAAACAAGATTTTGACATTTTCTGCGAGGGTTCGACATGCAAAACATGTCAGGAGTTTGTTCAAATCGCTACACTAAATGTGAGCGAAAGTAATAGAAATATCTGCGTATCTGCATTACAAACAAGAAGAGATGTCACAAACCAAACCAGACGTCCAACCACTATTTTTAGAAATAAAATGAAGTTGAAATGAGGACACACTCAAATACAATCCTACAACACACAACCTCTGAGAACAGTCAAACTTATAACTCTCTCAGACAAAAGCAAACTACATCAGACATAAACATTATTAAAAAAGCAGTTCAGTTAAATCAAATAAAAATAGGTTTTTAATATAGCAGTTTAAAAGCACGCTAAACAATATGCATTAAGTACCCATGGACACTTTATAGGTAAAAATTGTCAATTATATACTAAAGCATCACTATTTTTGCCTTTATTAATTCTTCTATAATGAAATGAAAAATAATTTCTAATTGTACAAATATTCCATGTTGTTGCTCAATTAATAAGTACTCATAAATCTGCATGTGTAGTAATTACAAAACAATTAGTAAAATGCTTTTTAATTTTTTTTTTCTAAATGCCATTTCACTTCGCAAATATAAAAATCAATACTATACATAAAAATTAAATTCTATTTTCTACCTAAATGAATCACATTCCTCAAATAGACATGAAAAAATGCCTGTTAATATTGCCTGGTCATATTTACAAATGCCATATAACAAATACTATTAATAGGATGTCAACTTCCTAAAATTATTTCATGTCAACGACCCAAATATAAAAAAATCAACAATGTATATAAAAATACATTGTATAGGCTCAGAAAAACATAAATATTTATCCTCATTTTAAAGTGATTAAATAAATCATATGCCTTAAATAAACAAATAATATTTACACTAAAAAAATCCTATTAATCATCGCAAGCTTCATATTTATAAATGCTGATTAGTAAAATGCTATTTTGAAAAAGTCTTAAATGGCACTTAACATGTAACACCGCAGGACGTCAACTTCCAAAGAGTTTTTCATGGCAACTATAAATTTCATACATAAAATAATTCTATAGACTCAAATAACATAAAACTAATATTTATCCTCAATTTAAACGGATTAAAAACCCTATTAACCAGGCACAAGCTTCATATTTACAAATGCTAATTAGAAAAATGCTATTTAAAATAGTTACTTCCCAAAGGTATTTCATGTCAACTAAAAAATAAAAAAAAATCAATAATGTAAATAAATTCTATAGTCTCAAATAAACAAGCTTTACAAAACAAGCAAGCTTTATTTTTACAAATTCAAGCAAAATGTTGAAATTTTTAGACGCAGGATGTCAACTTCCCAAATATAAAAATCAATAATGTACAGTACATAAACATTTTATAGTTTCTTCTTATATGAATCATATGCCTTAAATAAACATAAAAAATATATTTACACTAAACAAATCCTTTTAACCAATGATATACTCTATATTTACAAATGCTAATTAGCAAATGCTACTTAAAACCGCAGGACACGTTAACTACCCAAATCTAAAAATCAATAATGCACGTAAAAATAAAATCTATAATCTCAAATTAGCATGAAACTAAAATATATCCTCAATTTAAATGATTAAACAAATCATATGCCTCAAATATACATAAAAACCAAAAGAATCCTTTTAACCAATCACAAGTTAAATATTAACATATTTGCATATTAGCAAAATGATATTTAAAATATTTTTAGATGGCATGTCACACCGCAAAATCAATAATGAATATTGTACATTCAAAAAAGGAAAATAAATATTTATCCACAATTTAAACTGATTAAAACCCTATTAACCAATCACAAGCTTCATATTTACAAAAGCTAAATAACGAAATGGCATTTGAAACCGTTTTAGACAGAACGTCTAAATGATAGGGATGTAACGGTATTATCAATATCGTGATATCGCGATAGCAAAACTGTCTCGATATTATCGTGGTCACATGACGATACGAAACGATAGGTCTTCCGGGCAAAAAGTGTAGTTTTTAAAATATATTAAACTTCTTATTCTAACATAAAAGGTCTTTAAAGTTGTGTTTTGGGCCATTATTAATTCGTTCAGACGATCAGCTCGTGATCCGGTGTTTTCCGCGACTCCGTTCACTGTGAATGAATGCAGTCAACGCGTGTATTGCATGTGCTGCGAGTTTAGCGCACCAGTTATGCTTTATTTTCGCAGCAGAGGATTACAGCATTTCACTAGATTTGTAGTGAGAAGCGTTTTTGTTTTTGTAAGCATGTTTTCACTGAAGCTGGAGTTTTCCTTCAAAATAAAAGCTCTAATGCCGTTTCTGTCCAAATAAAAGCTTAAAAGTGCAGCATGAATTGCTGACAGCTAGCGGTTTAAATGCAGTCCATATTCAAAATATCTCTTTCAAGTGTAGAAATTAGGAAAGAAGTATTGTAATTTCCCTGCTGTAGTGTAAAGCAAAAATAACATGCCTATGAAATATTCATTTTCATTTATTTTACAGTAAAAATAATAATAAATTATAATAATATAATATATAATAATAAAATAAATAATAAATAATACAGTTATTTTTGTTTTACAACATATGGCTACTACTCTCATTGTTGTTATTATTATTATTATTATATTCTAATTTGTTTGTCTTCCTAAAACACCAGTGTGAATGTAATTTAGACTGAGACGGTATACCACAAATAAAAAAAGGGTTGAGTCCCCTTTAAGTTAAAGTTCAGGTACAAGTCAAAGACTTTTTTCTGATTTAGTTAAGAACATGGGTTGGAGCTCTTAATTTTGAACTCTCAACGTGCACTAGATAGAATAATTTAACTTTAAAATGTACAAAATGTTTTTTTTTAAATATCGCAATAAATACCGTACCGTGGACTTCATATCGATATATTATCATATCGTGAGATTTTGATATAGTTACATCCCTACTAAATGATGTTTAGAATGACGTGATAAATTAGCACGATAAAAGTCTGATTAAACCCCTATTAGCCAATCACAAGCTTTATAAGCACAAATGCTGCATGCAGGTAGTAGAAGTGAACAGGAAACATATGACCCCTTTAACACCCAATCAGAATCCATCCTGCTGTAACGAGCTCGAGAATTTAAAGAGGCAGGCGCGCGTGGGCTTAGAATAAACAGACGATATCGTCCATTGGTGTGGATGCTAATATCTTTATCTATATAGTTATCTTTATAGTTATCGTTCTCTGTGTGAACGGGGCTTAAACCATCATGTTCGTTAAAATATGAGTCCTCCAGTGATCAAAATCCACCCACATGTTTAGAGCTGTTTTGGACTGTTTTGGCTTGTAAACGATGTTTGATCGGAGCAGATTTCTCTCCTTATTCAGACAAGGTTACTTTTTAACTAAAGAAAGCAATATTATAGATGGAGGACGCATATATGTTAGCGGTAGCAATGGTTTGAAAAACGTCTTAATGATGGATTTGTTTCTTGCAAAAACAAAGATTTTCACTTCTCAAGATGTTAATTGATGGACTGGAGTGGTGTGGATTTATATATTATCATATCGTGAGATTTTGATATAGTTACATCCCTACTAAATGATGTTTAGAATGACGTGATAAATTAGCACGATAAAAGTCTGATTAAACCCCTATTAGCCAATCACAAGCTTTATAAGCACAAATGCTGCATGCAGGTAGTAGAAGTGAACAGGAAAGGTCTACTCACACGAGGAAGTGATACAGGAAGCACCTCAGGCCGGCGGGTCTCTCTAGGAAGTTGTACACATCGCCCTGCATGCTAGTCTTGACGTGGTAAGGGCTGTGCGGGAAGCGGGTGGCGGAGGGAAGCGGGACGGTGGAGATGGAGAGGGGCTGGCAGCGCTCACTGTGCGCCGGTGGATCCTTTGTGTGGCCACCTGGAGCGACGGGTGCGCTTGATCCATTATTCACCACGGGCTTCAGTTCCAGTGAAACAGGAGAGTGTGCCGCAGCGAGGGAAGCGCTGGACACTGCTGCCTCCTCCAGGCTGTGCTGGAAGTCGTGGCCGTTGTGGCCGCAGTTCTTTAGTTTGATGCTGTTGCTGGAGGTGGACCATCCGAACGTACGTCCACGGGATAACAGAGGGGTCGGGCGGCCCAGCCTGTCCCCCATGGTGGAGATGCGTTTCAGTGGGGTTGTTGGGCAGAACTGCTCCAAAGAGATTAGTCTGACATGGCACTAAACCTGTAAAGGGAGAACAAATTTGGGGAAAAATTAAAAGTTCACCTGAAAATGAAAATTTGCTGGAAATGTACTCACCCTCTGGTCATCCAAGTTGTAGATTAGTTTGTTTCTTCATCAGATTTGAAGAAATGTAGCATTACGTCATTTGCTCACCAATGGATGTGAATGGGTGCCGTCAGAATGAGAGTCCAAACAGCTGATAAAAACATCACAATAATCCACAAGTAATCCACAGCACTCCAGTCCACCAGTTAATGTATTGAGAAGCCAAAAGCTGCGTTTGTAAGAAACAAATCCATCAAGACGTTAACTTTAAAGATCCGTTCATACCAAGGACGATAACTATAAAGATAACAATAAAGATATAGTTCTAAAAATCATTCTCAATATTAAAGAATAGCAGAGTCCACACCACAACCATAACGATACAGGCACAGAGAAACGATATCGTTGGAATCACTTTCAGAACAATTTTTTTCCAACTGATGAATGATACAAACATTAAAGGGGTCATATGATGCTGCTAAAAAGAACATTATTTTGTGTATTTGGTGTAATGAAATGTGTTTATGCGGTTTAAAGTTAAAAAAACACATTATTTTCCACATACTGTACATTATTGTTTCTCCTCTATGCCCCGCCTTTTTGAAACGCGTCGATTTTTACAAAACTAATCGGTCTGAAAAGCGAGGTGTGCTCTGATTGGCCAACTATCCAGTGCGTTGTGATTGGCCGAATACCTCTCCCAATCAGAATCCATCCTGCTGTAACGAGCTCGAGAATTTAAAGAGGCAGGCGCGCGTGGGCTTAGAATAAACAGACGATATCGTCCATTGGTGTGGATGCTAATATCTTTATCTATATAGTTATCTTTATAGTTATCGTTCTCTGTGTGAACGGGGCTTAAACCATCATGTTCGTTAAAATATGAGTCCTCCAGTGATCAAAATCCACCCACATGTTTAGAGCTGTTTTGGACTGTTTTGGCTTGTAAACGATGTTTGATCGGAGCAGATTTCTCTCCTTATTCAGACAAGGTTACTTTTTAACTAAAGAAAGCAATATTATAGATGGAGGACGCATATATGTTAGCGGTAGCAATGGTTTGAAAAACGTCTTAATGATGGATTTGTTTCTTGCAAAAACAAAGATTTTCACTTCTCAAGATGTTAATTGATGGACTGGAGTGGTGTGGATTTCTTGTGGATTATTGTGGTGTTTTTATCAGCTGTTTGGACTCTCATTCTGACGGCACCCATTCACATCCATTGGTGAGCAAGTCATGTAATGCTACATTTCTCCAAATCTGATGAAAAACAAACTCATCTACATCTTGGATGGCCTGAAGGTGAGTACATTTCAGCAAATTGTCATTTTTGGGTGAACTGTTCCTTTAATTGCTCACATTGGTATACACCTTTTAAGATCATTTACAGTCTTGGTGATCTTGAGTATTTGGTTGCGTTTGATTGATCACCAGTTGTTGGGAAGTCACAGCACACATTAACTCATGAGGTGTCATGACGTGCCCCAAGTCTGCGGGTTTAAATAAGGAGCAGCTCGCAGCTCAGACAGGTTAAAATTGCATGAGAATGCACTGAAGATCACCAAACACATCCATAACCCTCCTCTGACAGTCAAATGCACCATGAGATCATGTTAAAAGTAGTGAAAAGTCACTCACTCACTCACTCACTCATAAATAAAGGTTCTTCAATGTTCTTAGGTTCTTGTATTCTATATTAGGTTCTTATATTGTATTGTGTTCTTGTATAAGTTGATAAAATGCAACATTAAAGACATTTGTAATTACAAAAAATTATATTTCAACTTAATGCAGTTCTTTTAAACTTTCTATTCATCAGAGAATCCTGAAAAAATGTATTACTGTTTCAACAACAGCAACAAAAATGAAGCAGCACAACTGTTTTCAACGTTTATAATAATCAGAAATGTTTCTTGAGCAGCAAATCAGCATATCAGAATGATTTCTGAAGGATCATGTGACACTGAAGACTGGGGTAATGATGCTGAAAATTCAGCTTTGCATCACTGGAATAAATTACATTTTAGCATATATTCACAAAGAAAACGTATTTTAAAATGTAATATTTCACAATATTACCATTTTCACTGTATTTTTTGATCAAATGCACATTTTTTGCTAAAATGTCTCTAAAAATGGAACAATCAAAAAAAAAAAATCTACTAAGCATGTGCTGAATGAGTGTCATCACTCCAGCTTGATTGTGATTTCACTGAAGTCTTCCTCAGACGGGTCACAGAGCAGTGAGGAAGAGGAGTAAAATACCCTCATTAATGAGGTCAGACTTTCCCCTCAAGAGAAATCACAAGATCGCCAATCCATCATGAGATGACCAGTGGATGGACACACAAAGCCACTGGAAAAAGCTTTGTGAGTGGAGACAAATCGAAACAGGACCCTGCCATCCTCTCTGCCACGTCTGTCAGTCACAGTGGCAGAGCCGCTGACAGAAGCGCCACTACAGCGCCGGCCGCTCGCAGATATAGTTTCAGACCACCGCTTTAAGCTGCAGATCACAATGTCAGGAGATAGAAAGCACTCACATTCAGAGCGTGTCGAGAGGATTTAGTGGACAGAGAGATAAACACACTCACGCTCATTCAAGTGTGCATGAAGCACGAAAGCAGCAAATGAATGAAACCAGTCACTCTTCAAGTTATCAAACCAAAACAACTGGGATTAAATAGATTTCTACAAAAATTATTATAACCTTATAAATTTATTATTTTATGTAGCCAGATTTTATATGACTAATATATATATATATATATACACACACACACACACACACACAC